GTTGAATTTTTTTAACACGTTAGTGTTTTGATTGCAGGAGGAAGTGTTGAACACTTATACATAAAACACATTCGTGTTTGGTGTTCTTTTACAACACATGTCAGAGAGCACGGGGAGAGATAATTAAAATACGTCATGAATGAAATAAGAATTTAAGAGAAATATAAATATGCATGTTACTTGCCATTTGATTGTGTAACATTTCATTAAACTAGTTTTCCTTCCAGATCTCTGGAAGGAACCAGATTTGAACTAAAAGCTCCTGTTTTAGATGCAGTACAGATGAAAAAATTACGTGTCCATGGAGCTGATATTGTAAAAAACAAACTTTTTTTTTTAATTTCTAGTTTCTAGAGAGAAATGTTTGTAAAAGATTGGCCTCGCGTTAGATTCTAGAGCTAAAAGTTTTCAACAAGGTCGTTTTAGACCTCAGTTTCAAACTAATTAACTCTGGCGGGATAGTATGTAAGGATCTTAAGTTTTACTAACGTTTATTTTATTTTAAATCTTTACTATCACTTCTTATTTTCTTCTTCCGGCCAGAATTAAAAGTGTTAACTTATTTATGCAAAATTTGTCTGGCGAACGCCAAGTACTTAAGTTGTGGCTTTTTGCCAAGCGAGAGAGAGGAAGGAGTAGTCGAAGCAGGCCGCTTACCTTAGAAGTTTTACTCAGTTGCTGGTTGCCTTCCAGGCCAGAGGTTTAATCCTCTTGATAATTTTAAACGTATTGTAGTGTTAACAGTTCTCTGTACTACATACGGCTTCCTGTTAATATAAGGCCAATCTTCCACGTTTATTATTTCAAAGTTAAGTTAGAGTTTAGTTATATTTTTATATTCTTACGTTTAGACCACAAGTAGTGGGTCTTTGTATTCCGAAGTACGGAAATTATTGTAAAGAGAGAAAAATAAAGGGTTTTGTATACCCTTCTTGTGTATCCTGTCTACTTCCCACAGTTATTGAACATAGCTTTAGTAAGCTCTCTGTTCCGATTCAGGTCCTTGCATGTTCCCGAAGAAAGTAAGACGGAACATTGAACCTGATATGCTTACTATTTTCAGTCTGCCTTTGACGGAAGAATATTCAGTAGCTTTTTTCCAAGAGAAAGTAGTATTTGGTCCGACGAAAAAATTTGTGAAAAAGGTAATAAGAAGCATTTGCACGTTGGAGAAGACCATTTGGAGATGCAACGTCAGAAATTGTGAAGAGAAAAAGGGTCTTCGCGGGGGCAATAGTTTTGATTGATCGAGAGTATCGTTTCTCACTGTGCTGCAAGTCATGTACTATTGGAGCAAGGAACTCATTTCAGCGCGATTTTGCGACAACCAATTAAACATGGGACATACGGCGGTATTGACTGAAACAACTAATAAAACATGATAAGTGTGCTCTGATATAATGACAAAACATTGAACAGAAAAAACAGGAGGACTTCTGAAAAAACAGGAGGAAGTCTGATATATTATGTCTTCACCACTCCTTTTCATGATACGAAGCAATTCAGATGGTTTTATGTCTCCAAGTTGCTCCCCGACGAGTAATTCTCGGATTTCGTGGATACTGCTTTTCCCACAATACACAGTAATGACAGCTTTCAGGTCTTGATGAGAAGCATCAGTGCACTCACGAAGTATGATATCTCGAACCAAAGAAGCAATCTCCGGCGGCAAATGAGTTAAATTTCATCTTGGGATCCGTAACAGGCTTTAGGATGGCTAAAGCAAAAGTTGGTTCACACATAGCAAACCACAATGCAGGATCAGTTGGACTGTAAATCGATATTTTTATCCCTGCTTCCTCCACGATGGTGGTTGAAGAGTAGAAAACGAGATCTTGAAATAACCAAGAACGCATGAACGCATGAACATAAGATAACAACTGATCGTTAAAATTGGTAAATCCCTTTTCATAAAACAGGAAAGCTATGCAGGTAGAGTTTTCCCCTAACAGTGGATTTTAGGCGGCCTTTGCCGTGAAAACAGTGAGTTCATTTTTATTCAAGTACGCAGTAAATGTCCGGGAACCCATATGGGAGAAATACAGGAACATGTGAGAGAGGGTTTGACAATATACGCAGATTTTTGGAAAAGCTGTTGAACTGAGGAAACGGGTTTGAACCTTTTTTCTGTTCATCATTGGTATAACTTTGCTGACACAACGACTGAAGTTCATACGCAGAATATCCGTGATTATGGGAGTCTCCCCAAATGGAACAAAAAGAACAGAGGTAAGACCCTCATCACTTTAGTAGTGCTAATGTGTTCGATGCATTATTAGAGCAATTTCCAAACTGAAGCCACCGGAAATTGTCTGCCAAAAAGGAATATTTGGATATGTTTATGCTTATTTTGTTTCAATGTAAATTTTTTAGCCATTTATGTATAATGCTTATTATGTTTATTGAAATGTTTTTAATCCCATTTACATATAATTAATTAATATTTCATTTTTCATTCCATTATGAAATTCCTTTTACATTATTATATCCTTCTAGTATTGTTTTATTATTATATTATTACATTACTATAAAAATTGGCTGGGGGCGGAGTGCAGCGGTAAATAACGCGCGAAAATCTCTTCAAGACTATGGGGCCGCTGCAAAATAAAAGTACCATTGGCACACTACAGCTTTATTCGGGAACTTTTTCATATAGGCTGCATGTATATTTTTGGGTTAGGGGGATTCAATGATCTCGCCTAACTTCTCCATATCCAGCCAATATGAAATTAACAGTCTCTGTATGAAGCTGTAAAAAGTACAGCAATCACTCAGGCAAGTGAACATACACTGTTTGTCCAGTGTCCCCCCCCCAGTGTTCAGTCCCCAAGCAAAGTTGGTACTCATTTTATCGACCCAAGAGATGGAAATCAAGCGATGAAAGGCTGAGTCGATCTTCCCCAGCCCGGGGATCGAACCTCGGACCTGTGGTGCTGCTGCGCTAGCCACTGCGTCACCGGGCCTTGATGCATATATAAGAACATTATAATTTCCTATGAGTTTTCTTATTGAATAATAAATTCTGTAAGTTCTGTGTTCTATGCTATAAGACAAGGGTATAAGTTTGCAAAAAAATTCCTGTGTTAAATAAAAGAATTTAAGTCATTTTTGCAGCTTTTTTTATCAATACATTAAAGATTTTTTTAACTCATTACACTTCCTCACTTGCTATTAGAACCATCATTAAATCCCTATTTGGTCTAATATTTTCCTGAACATTATCATGTATATAGATTGATTTCGTCTTTGTAACTGATAATTATTACTTGCAAATTATTCTCTTGCTGGTCAATACGTATAGTGAGACCACATGTATTATACTTCATTAGCTAATTATTTTATTTGTTATAGATTATACTACTTCATTTGAAGTTTCAGGTATAATGCCACATATTTGATTGCATTATACTATATTTTCGAATCTAGCAGCATTATCTATATTTATTGCATTGCATTGTATATTGTAATCTAGCATATTTAAAATCACATATTTCACTATTGCTACACTGTATATATTGTTACTACACTGTATCTATATTATTGTTGTATCATAATTATATTATTGATTAGTTGGCCTGTGCGATTAATCAGTCACTGAATAGTAATATAATAATGTCAAAAAACGTAAAGGCAAGTATTTATTAATGAAAGTTTTTTTTTAAAAATCTAATTGCGTAATTGGCATAAAATGCTTTTACCTGAGCTGATTGGGCGCATGCGCTAACGTAGGTTTTGCGAATAGCCACTGAGCACATCCAACTCATATTGGAAAATTCGTGTTTCGACTTGGGGAGAGAGTACAGTTGTTTTTTTCCACGTTTTCTGCACCTACAAAGCATAGTGTCTCTACAAACTGATTCTTCAAAAGCAAAAGAGGATTAAGACCAAATGATTCTTTAGTTCAGGGCAGAAGCGAGTCTCCAATTTTCCCTCTTCTTAAGCTCTGTTGACCTAGAAATAGGGTAAAAAAGAGATAGAAAAAAAAGGGGGGCTAAATTCTTGGAATTTTTAAATTCCATTAAAATTCCAGTAAAAAATTTCTGTTGTCGTATTTCGCTTTGAAGCACTGCAAACACGTATATTGCTTAATAATTAATCTAGTCCCAACGTAATATTTGAAAAATCTTTTTCGTTTTTTACTTCTCTCTGAGAGTTGTAAATCACGAGGTATATCGAGGCCCTAGAATTTAATCTACATTAATAACGAGCAGAATAACTAGAACTCTAGTTACGCCACAGGCTACTGCATTTTTCAGGTTCTCTTGGGCTGGATTAACCATTAAACGATATCAGCAAGTGCTTAGGGCATCAAGAAAAGTGGGCACTACAAAATGGTCACTAAATATTCAGGTAAGAGGGACACCAAAAAAATTACCCCATTGCCAGTTTTACCATGGAATGCATGACGCAGGTAATCCAAAACCGAGACAGAGAAGGAATGAAGAAAAAACCCGTGTGAACGTATGTGAAGGCACCAAAATCTTTCAAGTGCTTAAGACCTTTAGTCTTAATCCGGTCCTCTCGAAATATGCCAAAAAAGGCTACATGAAACATTTCCTACACGAAAAATTTTATACACGAAGAGTATTACATATATGCTTACAATTTTTGTTTTCAGAATGAAATGATTAGAGGTAATAAATTATGTAGTAATCTATATAAACTCATATAGATATAGGCTGTTCTCCGAAGAATATCCGAAACTTCCTATAGAAAATATAATTCTACAGAGAACCTCTTTGTATAACCCACTTATCCGAACTTCCCGAGGGAGGCTTAGAGCTGCTTCCGAGCCTGTTCTTAAATCAACAATTGAGCGCTAAATTTAAACATCAGACGCAACCACGACAAGAATATCGAAATAGTATAGTATATTAAACTACTCGACGTGTCAAGACACTATATCTTTTATTAAATATCGCTTCGTGATCACGTTAAAAGTAGAGCGCCTAAAGCCTTACTAAAGCCTTACTGGCTGAAAGGCTCACTAGAGACTATAGTATACTAGGCCTTGGCGACAGAAAGTAAGCCATCTTGTTTACCTCGAAATTTATAGTCTTAGGGATAGAGGTCCAGTACTGTTACGAGACGTTAATTTTCGCAAATTTTTTTTGTGAGTTATCTCTCTCTTTGATGCGAAAGTAATTCACTGAACATTGATAATGAATCTAAATGTTGTTTATACTCCTATACCAAAAACAAATATCGATTCTGCAGGTGGCACATGGGATGACATAGCCTTTGGTGCCGCATCTATGCAAGGCTGGAGACATGAACATTCTGTAAGTATCTCGAATTCGTGTGTGGTAAAAAATTTTCAGTTGGTGTGTGCTATGTTTCGAATCCAGTGCTTCTTATATGTTTATTTTTTATTTCATTTCCTACCTGGACTTTTCAAAAGCCGGTGTAAGGTATACAGTGGTACTTCTTGATTACTGAAAACTCTTAAACGGTAACGTTTTGATTTCGTTCTAATTACACACTTTTTAAGGTCACTGAATAACAGTCACTGAATTAGGTTTCTTCGTTTACTATTTTATGTCGGAAGAAACTACATTATATATTTTCTGTAGGTTGCTTTTTATATTAAAATCGTCATATGTAGGCAATCATTTTGAGATTTGCTGTATTGTCATTTCCGGAAAATCCCAAAATTACATCCCCTCAAATATTTTCTTTATCGCTTTTTTAATAATACCGTTTAATTCATTGTATTTTCCTTTTTTGCCTACAGTACTTGTCTTCTTATACCCTCAGTGTGGCCTCTTGTGTAGTACTCTTAAACTGTTTTAATAGCAAAATGCCTTTGCAGATGTGATGTAATTAATTAAACGAAATGTGTATATGTAAATTGAATATGAAATGAATACCTGTCACAAAGCCAAACATTAATTTAAAATAAATAAGTATCACTAATCTTCTAACCTTAGAAAGTATTTTCGCCAAAATATAGTGGCTCGCAATTGTTCCAAAGATTAACCAAAATATCAATTACTAAATGTTAGTAAAATGGCTTTTTTAACATACACTGTTCATAATCTGTTTTAAAACCTGCTAGCTTTGAAAAAGTTATAAAAGCATGTTTGATTTAAAAAAGTATTTAATCAAAAAGTTTTGAAAATGGATTGGAATAGGTAGGTATTCAGACACTTTGGATAAGTAATTTATGTTTAATAAAAGCATGAACATAATGAGCTAATAAAAATTTCGTTGGATATCCTTTAGCTAAAATTATGCTTTTCATTTGCTTTAGTATGGATTTAACTAATTGTGTGTTTTTTATGCAAGAATGTTTCATTCATGCATTAAGAATTGATTTTAGTAGATATTTTGAAGAAGTTTTATATTTTCTTATTCATTTCTCCAACTCTCTCTATACTACGTGTTCTATAGGATTTAAGTCATTGAGTATGAGTAATTTTAATAATTTCAGGGCAGTTGTATAATAACCAGAAGCAAAATATCTGGATTGTTTTCCTGATAAAACTTGAATGTATTATGGATTCCGAGTTTTCTTGAAAATACTCCTAGGTTTTTATTAAGAATTCTTATATACTTATAAAAATCTATATTATTTTTGATAAAAACATTAAATTTCTTAATCTTAAGATGGTGAAACATCTCCAAACCATCATACCTGTACATAATATTAAACAATAGGTTTTTCAAATTCAGTTCTTAATTCAGATTTTGCCACATATTAATTTGTCTATTGGATGCAAATATCTTCAATTTTGACTGTTCTGTAAATATAACATTGTTCAAATATGATAAAACTTTGCTTACTGTAGTTACGGTTAGAGTACAGTGAAGGGTACCGCTTGTATCATCACAAAGTTGTTTCATTTATCGCCAAGTTGTTGTTTCATTTATGGTAACCTGAGTAGTTGAATGTTCAGTAAATATACTTTTACGTAGAATTGGGTGCTCTTTTGACTTAAGTGAAAATATACTGATGTGTACATGGAAAAAGTCACCAAGTTTGTGCAATACTCTGAGTTTTTTTTTTTTTTTAGTGAAAATAGGTCGACGTGTACATGGATACAAGTCCAAGATTTGCACAAACTCGGTATCCATGTACCACCCCGTAAATATACTTTTACTAAAAAAAAAAAAAAACCTTTATATCTCCAGCATGCGGAACTGTGTATCAGAAATTCTAAAGATATGCTCATTTTAAAATTATTTTGCGACGTTTCTGTTGAACTGCTTAATTGCCATCTGTTGCTGTTCATTCTCACTTTATAAGAGAAATTAAGCTCTGAGATGATGTAAAAGATGCTTGTTAGCTGTAAGCAATTAGTAAACTTCAGTGTTTGCTTTTTGTTCTAGTGGTGCCATGGTATTTCAAAATAGTTTTTTTTTATTGAAATAATGCAAAGTGGAAGTTTGAGTTGTTAAATAAAGTTTTAAGTTATGTTACATGTTAAAACTGAATTTTTTATACGATTTGTAAAATAGTATTTGAACATTTATAGCAGTAGAAATAGATTAGAAGTTTTCAGCATCAATTTTGAGTTAAAGGTACTGTTAACTAATTTGCTGATAAATATTTGTATGCTGAAGGGTTACTTTATGCCCATAATTAGTATAGACACTTTGTGCTTTAAGTGCTCAATTTCCATACCATACTTCAATAAAATTCTGATGAAGTCTAACGTTAGGAATGGAGACAAATAAATAAGCAGAGATTCATCTAAATTAACATATATTGAAACACAAAATGGCACAAGTACAGTAAATTCTACATGGTAAAGTAAAACAGTGACAACAACCAACAGTGACAAAAAAAAAAGTTGCCAAGAGAAAAATATAAAAAGCATGTTGCCACACATGTTGTAAAATACAAATGGGAAGTATAATCACAAATAAAAGTTATTTGCAACACTTCCCCTTGATTAAATTTCCCTCAGTCCTACACAGAACCTTTGATTGAACAAGGCTTTCTTTTGCACACTCTTTGTGAACATGTCTGCTGCATTTGACTGGAAGGCACATACTAAAGTTTAACAACTTCTCTTCAACCTTTCTCTCAAGAAAAATGCCTGAGTTCAATATGTTTGTTACGCTGTGAAGTGACATGGTTTTTGGCTAAAGAAATGGCACCCTGATTATCAACAAATATGCTTTGTGAAAAGTTAAAAAATGTTCTCCCACAATTTCTTTAAAAAAATTTTGGAACCACAGTACTTCCTTGGCTGCGTTGCACATCGAGAGGTACTCAGTTCAACTGTTGACAATGCAGTCGTCTTTGTTTCTTACTGCTCCAGAGACGCTCAACCTGCTACTAGCACCACACAGCCACTAAATGATCGTCTGGGTCAATCTTATCACCAGCCATCAGAATCACAAAACCTTCCAAATTCTTTCCTGTCTTTTGGAAGTCAGCTTTAATTCCTTGGTCTGTTGTAGGTAACGAGGATATGTTGTACACCAGCCCAATGTTCCTTGCTTGGGCAATTATTGAATTGGCTCATGTAAGTAGTAGCAAAAGTAAATCTGGCCTTGTTCCTCCTGCTAGGTACAAGAGCCCTCCAACAGCCTGCCTATATTTTAATGCTCCTTCAGCATTCAACATGTTATCCTTAGTGGCTGTTATATATTTCATACCTGGATCTAATGGTGTTGATGTTTCTTTAGCATCTTGCATATTGGTTGTTTCCAAGAGTTCACTAGCATAGACACTTTGGTCAAGAGTCACACAGCTATCTTCCCTTCTGCTTATCCTAATTGAAAGGTGATTCTCCCAAGTCCTTGATTTTAAATAGCTGCAATATTATCCTTAAATTCCTGAATGATGAATTCTTTGCTGGACATTACAAGAAGATCATCTACATACACACCTACAATTAACTCCTTTTCTTTATTGAAGTAAACACAAGGATCTGCTCTGTATCTTGTTAGGCTCGTTGATTTCAAAATTTATCGAGGCACATATTCCATTCTCTCCCAGATGATGAAATCCATAAAGCTTCTTTTTAGCAGCAAACTTCTCTGTGTTTTTCTCATGCAGACTCACTGGTGGCTGTTCCATGAAAATTGTCTCACTCAATTTTCCATTTAAATAGGCTGCAGTAATATCCAGTTGATGAACCTGCCAGTTTCGCTCAACTGAGAATGCTAATAATGTTCTAATTGATTTTGTTTTTATTACAGGAGAAAACGTCTCTTTCTAGTCAATTCCTTCAACTTGGGTATAGTCACGAGCAACTAAACGATCTTTATATCTTTCCACTTGTCCATCTTTGTTAAGTTTTCTTTTAAAGACCCACTTACATTTCACGACTTTCCTTTCTTCTGACCTAGGAACTATGTCCCAAATTTCATTTCGTTTTAAATTTTCCAACTCCTCTGCCATGACTAACTTCCATTTTTCTGCATCTGGACTAGTTAATGCCTCTTCTAAAGTTTCAGGATCATTCTGGAAAGTTTTTTCTTGGGTGTTGAGCCTTCATATTTCTGTTTCTCGGATTGTCAGCTGCACTGCCATTCCACTTGTAATTCCATTTATTTCTGGAGGATTTTCTTCATAAATCTCTGAAATTTTCCATGATATAATCCTTTGTCCACTTAGGCGCTGAAATTTGTCTTCTGGGTCGAGTCTCCTTTTCTGGTATATCTTCCACCTCCTTCTTTTCCTGTTGAGGGCCTTCGTCTATTACTTTATTTTCAACTTCATCATCTTGAGATGAATTTCTTCCAGAAACTTATTGTGGGTGCAATGTTATAATGTTTCCAGTCATGGAAGGTTTCTCTTCAAATATGACATCTCGGGAACAGATTACTGTACTGGTTTCTTTGATGTAAATGCGGTACCTTTCATCTCCATCATACCCAAGGAGATAGCCTTTAGTTGCCCTTTTGTCCATCTTTCTCCTCTTTCTGAACTGGGATATGAGTATAGCAAGTCGATCCAATGATGCGCATGTATTTTATTCTGGGTTTCTTTCCCATCCATAATTCATAATAGGGCTTGAATTAGGAACTGAAGACTTGCCTGTCCTATTCAATATATAAATTGAAGTACTGACGAACTCTGCCCATAGGAAAGCTGGAGAGTCCACTTCCTCATTCGAGTATTTGAGAGTTCTGGCCATTTCTAGGACTGTTCTGTTCTCTCGTTCAGCACTGCCATTTTGTTCTGGTGTATATGGAGCTGTGAGCCTCTGGGAGATTCCCTGCTTGTTCAAGATCTTGCGAACGGCTTGGTTGTCAAATTTTCCATCATTGTCACTAAGCATTTCTTTAACCGTATGCCCTAAGTTCTTAGCGTGAGCTATGAAATTTTCAAGTACATCTTTTACTTCTGGTTTGTGCTTTAAGAAAAAAACAGCATCGAAATTTTGGTGTAGGCATCTTTGCACCCCCTTGTCCCAAAGTAACAGCTATTTCCTAAATGACTGATCAAATACCCCCACAAATATCTGTCGAGAACAATTCTCCAGCTTTTGTAACCTCCTTTCCTGGTTTCCAAACTTTAAACGGTGGGCTTTTCCGTTATACACAAGCTTCACATAATTTCATATCAGACTTAATCTTAATATTCAACATCTTTCTCAACAATGGCCTTTACATGCTTTTTATCTTGGTGACCCCATCATTCATGATAAAGTTGAAGTGTTGATTCATTATTCTCAGTCACACATGTTTGATGTCAATGTGAGTTTCAAGGAACTAAGGTCTTCATCTCATGGCTTTGAAGAGACCCCCCCCCCCACCTGGCATTTCTTGTATACCATACAAGAACTATTTCGTCACCATGTATTTTTAAATAGCAGTCCTTAAATGTTGATTCAAACACACTGTTTTGGTTTCTATTCTTGAGATGCTAACATGGAAAATAGATTTTTACTTATTTCTGGAACATACCAGACATTTTCAAGATTTTTGATTTGATTCATCCCATTTACAATGGTCATTATCTTGATGGTGCCTTTTCCAATTGCTGGTAATGACTTTCCATTTGCCACAGTGATGCTATGAGGAAGCTTAAATCTTTTGAAGTCTATAAAGTAGTGCCTGTTATTGACGACATGCTTCGAGGCCCCATTATCAATAAACCAATCATCAGAATTCGTTTTCTGCAGAAAATATTGTATCATCTACAGCTAGAAGTGTCATATTTGCAGCAACACTGTTTTTTACTTCCCTTGTTTGGCCCTATATGTGGACTGGGTTTCGGCGGTTTTCCATCAGCTATCCATTTCTTGCATGTTCTGACCCAATGTCCTCTCTGGTGGCAATAATTACACTTGCCATTGTTTTTCTTGTTAATAGATGATTTCCGCTTAAATTCCGGATTTGCTATCAATGCTTCCTGATCTAAAGTTTCTAAAAAATTTGGATCTTTCCTTAATTCTCTTTCATGGGTGCACAATTGTGTGGTTAATTCATCTAAAGTTCTCTTTTCGTCACTAAGAAGTAACCAACTCGATTTGAAAGTATGATAACTGGGAGAAAGAGTATCCAATATTTTACAAATCAACAGCATTTCTGGCAGTCTGTTTTCTTCCTTATTTTCAAGCCCACTGTTCAGTTCATTCCATAGATTTTTCAATTTTGACAAATGAGCTGCCATATCATCATTTGACCACTTGAATTTGAAGAACTGTAAACATATGTTATAAAGTTGGTTATCGGACGAATCTTCGAATACTTTGTGAAGTTCCAGCCAAATGTCTCTTGCGCTGTCAAATCTCATTACCTTTTGTAAAGTGTCTTCAGTCATGGAGTTCGTAAGAACCATCATAGCACAATTATTTGCTTTATTAAAAACCTTCATATCATCTCTAAATCTCTTTCGAATCTCTTCGGCAGCCGCATGATCAGGCTCCTCTGGCTTCTTCAGTTTTCCTTCCACGACTTCTAAAGCGTTTTCGTGATAATTTAATGTTAGGCTTACGAACTGCCGGTAATGTTTATCTCCACTTCGCTCATAAATTTCCCCGCACAGTTATATCATGCTGGTACCCATAACCTGATGAAGTCTAACATTAGGAATGGAGACAAATAAATAAGCAGAGATTCATCTAAATTAACATATATTGAAACAAAAAATGGCACAAGTACGGTAAATTCTACATGGTAAAGTAAAACAGTGACAACAACCAAAAAAAAACGTTGCCAAGAGAAAAATATAAAAAGCGTGTTGCCACACATGTTGTAAAATACAAATGGGAAATATAATCACAAATAAAAGTTATTTGCAACAAGTTCAGTACTTATATGCTATGATGACTACCTTAGCAATATTTACCCATAAAAATCTTTATTAGTGGTTTTTAGTTTATGTTCATAAATTCTTTTAAAAATAAAAGCCCTAATTATAAAGGAACGAAAAATCATGACTATTATAAATCTACATATTATAAATAACATATATATATATATGTATAAACTTTATACTCAATACGAGTTAAAAAAATTAAAATTAACTTACTCAAAACTGGTTAAAAGAAAACATTGAAGTTAATGGTGAGGAAAGTGGTGGGAAATAGCTTTCAAAATAGCATCGAAAGGCTTTTCCTGTTTTTTCCGCCAAATAAATTCAGCTAAATAGGTATCTATATTATGGCGCTTCTCCCACGTTGTTGCTTGTTCCTCAATTTTCCTCTTCTATAACCTATGTTTGGATTAATCTGTATAACCTATAAGGGTTGCCAGTTTTGGCGAGATATCTAGGCAGTCGTTATAGTATGTAAGTACCGAAATATCCATAATTTTAGCTAATAATGTAATTGCAGTTTTTTATAACAGGTAAGGCACAAAATGAATTAGAATGTGTCAGTTTTGTTACTGTATATTTAAAAATGCCTCAAACTAAATATGAAACTTGCATCCATTCTAGCAGAAGTTTTTGTTCCCACTTTTAAATCAAAATACAAATGATTGAATTTGATGATTTAATAAGAATACTTTATCCCAAAATATTTATGGAACTCTTAAAAGAAGTATGTTATAGGAAACAGAATTTTGTGCAAGGTAATATGCATTTTGGGAAGTGTAAAGACTAAACAAAACTAATGCTAATGCATAAGTTTAACAAGATATGGACTGAAGACTTCAGGAATTAAGCCCATTGTTTATATTGTTCACAATTTGTTATCTTCTTGCAGAAATGATTGTAATTAATATATTAAGTCATTTTAAACATAAATTAAGTTTTAGGATTATGTAGCATTTGTGTAGGATTTATGTAGCATTTGTGTTACATTGGTCATTACATGTATTTATGTATTCTGGTTTAAAAGTTTTTCTTTTTTTTTTTATAGGATACATATACTTGCTTAAAGGATTTTTTTGAAAACTTCAAATTTTTTGCAGTTTATGATGGTCATGGAGGTAAATGATTTTTTTTAATCTGGTATCCATTTTCTTTTCTTTTCTTTTCTTTTTTTTTTTTTTTTTTTTTTTTTTTTGTTTGAAATAAGATTGTTTAATTTTTTAGGTGTTTATTTAAAGTAATCTTAGCAAAACATATATTGAAAATTTTCTTAATATTTTTCAGTATTTTTTAAAATTGGTTGAAAAATACCATCCATATGTTGTTGCATATCAGTCTGAAATTTATTTTTTAGACCTACTATAATGGTAGCTATATTGTTAAAGACCAGTGAATCCTAGTAATGTGACTTGTGTTTGTTTCTTTTGGTTGCAGATTGGATAAGTTGCCAGTATGTTTTTGTTTTCCTTCATGATATGCAATGTAAATGCAATCCAGTGTTACAAAGTTTTTTGAAGTTATTTCTCTTAAAGACCACAATGAAATATTTTTTCCAAACTGAATCTGTACTTAAATGTTAATAGCTTTTCAGGAATTTATTAAATTATCAATAAGTTTTCTGTAATTATAGTATAAAATACTAACGTTTCTCTCTGAATGTTCCTAAGACCTTTGTGCGAAACAAGAGCTCAAGATCTCTGAAGAAAAATCGAGAGCTATGACCCTTCATATAAATCAGGACAGACAATGAAAAGAAATTTTAAGTACTTGCATACTGTCGCATCCATCTTGGCATAATTTGGCAAATTTTTATGAATGAAAATGTAAAGTTACTTAACATGTGCAAGTTGATGCTTTTCGGCCTTCTTTTTTAGAAAGATTCCCAAACTGTCAATATTTATAGCAAGTTTGCTAAACAATATTAACATAGGAAAAGAAAATGTTCTTTAGCAATTTTAAGTACAAATTTGAATTATTATATAAGGATTATGACATATATTAAAAAATAAAACACTTATATTCTTTAAATCTTTCTGTAAGTTTTTAAAAATTCTTTTTCTCCCAAAGTACGCAGCCATGTGTTTTCACTTAAGAAAATAATCAGAGTATTGGCTTTGTGCAATCTTCGGTAACAGCAGCTATCTAAAAAATGTATTTCCTTGTTGTTTCCTTTAGAAAAATTTAAGCAAAATTCTGTATTACTGCCAAAACTTTACCCTAGTTTCCTTCATTGCTGGCGAATTCAACAAGCTTATATTTTAAAACTAAATTTAAGGCAAAAAATATCACAATTTGTGTATAAAAACCATTGGAACTTGGAGTACAACAAAATAGAACGAATATGAATATGGTGTCGGTGCTTGACTGAAATGATTGTTATGAGCATGGTTGCTGGAAAAATGGTTATGTGCATGGCCGCCAGAATTTGGCACTTTCTGAAAACTTAGCTACTTCTTCTAAGATGGTTGTGATACTAAGTACCAAATCCTACTTTCAGAATCCAAGAAGAAAACATCAAAAATGTCCGCCAAATTAAATTCGTGGCGATCATCATTAACGCAAAATTCTCAATCTCCATTGAGGAGGAAAACTGTGCAAATAACTGAAAACTCCAAATGCATGCAAGGATCAGATTAGGGATGGAATCTCCACATAAAAAAAAAAAAAAAAAAAAAAAAACCAGTTGTAGTACTGTTGTAAACTACAGAGTACTACTTAGATTCTTCTAATGAACAAAAGAAAAAGTAACTATAAGCCATACAAAGGTCTTTTCTCTTCCATATTACAGAGGTCTACTGTACTACCTGTAATCATGCTTTGTATATTTTCTCAGGGATACCTCCATTATTCATCCATTTTAAAAAAGGAGGTTAACAAAACAACAACAGTACTATAACTGAAGTGGGAAGCTAACATACATGATACAGCCTTTGTTAGGGAAAAAACGAATTTAAGTGCTATCCTCAAATGAGACATTTTGCACATCAGTTGAACTTAAGAATCATTCCCAAGAACAACAATCATGATTGCATCTCACCATTAGCATTTACTAATGGCTCAAAGAATGATGGAAAGGTGGCCTTTGCCTATGTGATTTTCATGCCTGTGCAAGAACAAATCATGTGAAAAGGTTTCTTAAAGCCGAGAACAGTGTATTCAAAACTATCAGCAATTAAACACACAATTATTTATGCAACAACATGTGAATTTCCCAAACTATGATCAAATACGACAGTCTTTCAGCACTTTATGTACTTTCCAACATGAAGTCTTCCCCAATAGTTGAAGATATTTTTTCTGTAATCTTCAATAGCCCTCAACTTTATATTACAATTGCTTAGGTGAAAGCTCATGCAGGCATCTCCAGTAATGAATACACAGATCAGTTTGCAAAAGAAATGACCCAAAAATATCAGCACTACTACTGTACACATAAAACAGCAAAGGTGATATCTTACCAACAGATGAAAAATATAGAGAACATGCAGTAACAAACTGACTGGGGTAATGTGCCTCAAAGGGACACAAATTTTGCCTGCAAATAAAATACGATAGGCAAGACAACTAGAATATTTAATACAATAGGGAGAGTACACATTTCTTATAAAATCAGTACTTGACTGGGCATGATCTGTTCCCTACTTATTGTTTCAATAGAAATCTGTAAAAGTATATTTACGGGTACCTCTTGGTGAATTTTGGTGGTACATGGATACCGAGTTTGTGCAATTCTTTGACCTTGTTATTTTGGCTTTGTGTAGTGGTGATTTTAGCGCCAAAAATCGCAGCTACACAAAAATAAAATAAAAAGTCAAAATATTGCACAAATTTGGTTTCCATGTACACATTGACCTATTTTCAGTTAAAAACTGTCAGATAATTGCACAAACTTGGCATTGAGCACTCCCTTTGTCCATGTACACATTGATATATTTTTTCTTAAAATGTCAAAGGCCCAATGCTAGATAAAAGTATATTTACAGAGCATTCAACTACTCAGGTTACCATACATGAAACAACAACTTGGCGATAAATGAAACAACTTTGCGATATAACAAGGGGTACCCTTCAGTCTACTCTAACCTAGAAATCTTTCTCTTAATGACAATTGCATATGCTGGAAAAGATGGGATCCTGATCATTGTATATTCTAATGTCTGTTAATGGCTGCACATCGCAGCAAGCTCCCAGCAATAGGCTGATTACCTTTCAATAGATACCTGCTAAAAATCAAGCAGGTCAAATACAAAATAATTAAAATAATGACTCTTCTCCAGTCCTACAGTAACTGAACAGTGTCACCCATAGGCATCATCCAAGCAGCTCCACCCTCTTCAAAATAATGATGCATTCTTATCTATTATTTTAGGACTTATTTAAAATAATACTTAACATAATAATAACAGCTTTGTAAAATAAACAGTAAGTGTAATAATAACTGGAAGTATAACTTGGAAAATGCAAGTAACTGCAAATATTACTTGGTGAGGAAAATTTGCACAAGATAAAAATGCATATCATTTGAACAGCCCCCAAACACTGATGCCATGTTGTCACACGTTGGGGTGTTCCACAGTTGCTGCTGGATTGAATATGTCTTCACATCAACACCACACTCGTATGTGGTGGCTATCATTGGAAAAACAGAAGCATGACTCATCTGAGAACACGACCCTGTGCCATTCCATCGTCCACATCACTCAAACCCGGTACCATTGCAGATGTTGCCATCTATGATGTGGGGTCAATGGCAATCTTCTTAATGGATGCCACGAGTGTATGTCATTAGCCGCCAATCAATGGCAAATGGTTCTGATCGCTATGAGAATATCCAAGGAGGTAGAAGTGGCTTGCAGGTGTGCCACTGCTTGTCGCCAGATACATTGATGTGTGCTGATGTCACTCTGGCTACACCTGTACCCCTCAAAGTTGCCAGATTTCCATGTTCCAGATATCGTCACCGCAATTAGTGTACTGTGGATGCATCTAGGTGGTGTGCGTCAGCTGACATTTGCCGTATGGACCAACATGTGTTTCTCAGTCCAATCACTATGTCCCTCGTAAAATCATCTGTCTGCTGAAACTGTCTCCTTTGATGATGCCCTGAAATTCTCTGCTATTACACACGTCCTCTGAGACAAGAAAAAATGTTCTACGATATTTTTCCTAGCAGAAATAACAGCATGAAAATTGAATTCTGCGGGCTCTTTCCCTTATATCTGCTTCAATGTGTGCTGGAGAGCTGCACATTTCACATCATTCGCACAACTCAGTGACATGCGTCTACCCTGAAATTTGTGCAATTTTCGGGCTACTGCTTCTTAGTGTTGCATTTTCAATGTCGGGGAGTTATATATCTTTTATTGGAATTCTTTGTAATTAATCCCTTTTTTGTTTCACAACTTAAGTCACTGGGGAATACTTTTTGGCTACTCAGCTGTGCATACCACCAACTGCAGTCGTATAGCTTCGCCAAGCGTCTAGACCCCCAAACCTCACTTTTGCTCATAACTGGCCTTTTTCCTTCTCTGGGATATGAAGAAAGGAAAAGGGATTTTGAGTATAGGGAATTTTAGTCCATAACGCTGTTTATATTTCATTCCTGTGTAATTACTGTGAATATCCGTTCAGAAAATATTATCGTGTCTTCTGAAATGATAAAACAGCCCTTTACAAGGACAAGTAATTTCGCATCAGAAAATCAGCCGATACCCTTGGAAATATTACCGTGTCTTTTGAAATAATAAAATGGCCCTTTACAAGAACAAGTAATTTTGCATCGGAAAATCAGTCGATACCCTTGGAAACAACCGAAAGGTCTCTTTCGGGGCCAACTATTCCAATCATGGAAAATCAACTGTTTACTCTTGTTTGAAGTGTGGAAAAAGATACGGTATATTTTTTTAATTGAAAAAGACATGTAGCAAGAATTGCATGGTTTAAAGCACACGAAAAAATGTGAATTTAAAAGTTCTAGTAGTATGCATTGCTAAATACATTTTGTTGATATTATGGATTGCCTATTTTGGTAATATAGCATAGTGTCTGATGAATTCTTATGGTTGGGATCAGACATTTCTTAGTACCAATTAAGTACCAGTTTATTTTTTTATTAAAA